AGGTAATAAAGCTAGATGGTTAGAATTAAAGATAGGCTGAAGATTCAATTCTATTTCAAGGGGAAAGGGGCTGAACAATTTTAAACAGAGTTAAATTTGGGAAGATGAATCTCATGGAATAAATGGGATAAACTAAGAAAGATTTTCAATAGTTCAAGCAAGAAAAAGTAAGATTTGTCTAAGGGAGGTGGTACAATGAAGGAATTGTCCCCCTTAAAAAACCTGGCGAGCAAAGAAGCATTCTCCAGATGAATCTCTGGCAGAAAGGGAAAGGCTGAAAGAGCTGAAAGAGTCTGAGATTTTGGAGTCACCCTCTCCTTTGGGGTTCTCTGACTTTGGGCCTTTCTCCTTTTGCCAAAACACAGCAACAAGACCTCTTAGAAAGGATCCATAAGCTGCAAAGAGAAGCAAAGGAAAGTTCCTGTGGTCCCAGTGAAGTGATAATAGCAACTCTGGGGGAGGCAACCTGGGAGGTCATGATGACAATCATGGAGGGTAATATTTCAAAGTGAAGCTCTGAAGTGTATACTCCCTTCCTCACATCTTGCAGTTACTCTCATCCCTCAAGTTTTTCTCCTACCTTTAGAGGAATATGTTCTCATTCCTCAGGCATGAATAAATAGAAATGGGTATAAGAAAAGATAGATGGAAGTTAGTTGTGGTGGTGCACATCTATAATCCAGCTGCTCAGGAGGCTGGAGCAGGAGGATTGCAAAGTTTAAGGCCATCTTCGGCAATTTAGCAAAACCTCAGCAACTTCATGAGACTTTGCCTCAAAATTAAAAATATAAAAAGGACTAGGGATATAGCTCAGTGGTAAAGCACCCCTGGGTTCAATTCCCATGGTCCAAAAAATAAAAAATAAAAAATAAAAGATGGGCTGGGGATGTGGCTCAAGCGGTAGTGCACTCGCCTGGCATGTGTGCGGCCTGGGTCTGATCCTCAGCACCACATACAAATAAAGATGTGTTTGCCGAAAACTAAAAAATAAATATTAAAAATTTAAAAAATAATAATAAAAGATGGAAGAAAATTTTCTAAGACAACTTGAATTGATAGGACTTGAAATATAACTTTACTAGATTTTGAATAAAAGAAAGAAAATAGAAAATAACCATGAAAGAACCCTGAATGTGAGACCAGTGGTGATTTAAGAACTTGCTTTCTTTACATTGATTCCATCCTCCCTAGTAATCTTCCAGTGGTTATTTTGTTTCCCAAGTTGACTTTTCTATAAGGATGCCATTGAATTTCTTAGGATAAATCAGAAAATTGGGCTCTTGTGACTTAATCATAGCTGTGTGAAATGATAAAGTTCTTGAACAATTTTAAACAGTAGAGTTGAATGGGATTGTGGAACTTGCAAATTGGAAATTCTGTCCCCATCAGCTCTTTTAATATTCCACAATATGGATCTGTTCCTTGATCATTTTGATACAGGACAAAATCAAGAAAATAGATGGTTTCCATGGTCAATGTGTATGGAGTGTCTACAATAAGGGGAACTAAAGTTATCCTCTGAAACTGAACCTTGTAGAATAACATTTATTCATTACTTACTACTTGTATGGCCCTGGCCCTTTGGACACTTTTCATTAGAAATCCATCTTATTATTATATCCATTTTAAAATAAGAAAACACCTGGGCTCCAATATTGCTGCCTATTGACTCAATACTTCTTTTCTCTGATTGCATTTATCACGGTGGCAGCAGGTGTGGCCTTGACATGCAAAAGGATAACAGCAAGTTTGTAGACCTCTATTTGCTAGTAGAAATGCTCCACTAGTGGTGACATCACAGATACTAAGGACCACGTCTTCATTCAGATGAATGGAAGTTGACAAGATCATGGTGCTGTAGTTTGGATCTAAAGTGCCCCGAAAGACCCAGGTGGTAAAAATTTGGTTCCCAACTTGGTACTACTGGGAGGTGGTGTGTTGAGAGCCACAGCCAGTCAGAATGACCCTGGCATATTGCCAGAGGGAATGGTTGAAAGGTGACGCCAGCGAACCATTGAGATGATGATTTGAGTTAAACTGTATATAACTGCTGTTGACCTGGATTGATTGGAATAGGGCGGCTCCGGGAATCTGCCTCCCTGCTGCTTTGGAGTTCCCGGGGAGTTCTCTCAGGGGTTGGGAGAGATTGGGCACACGGAGCCCGGTGGAAGGTATGTGTTCCCCAGTAGTGTGTGTGCAGTGCCAGTGAGAGTTGGGGAATAAAGAGTTGCTGTTTGAACCTACAAGGCTTTGTGGCGGCTCAGTTATTTGTGCCAAGCCAGACTGCGGCAGTGGTGGACAAAAAGAGATGGGGCTTAGTGGGAAGTCTTCAGGTTGCTAGGGATATGACCTTGAATGGGATTGTGGAACCATCCCACTCTCCCTTTTTTTGCTTCCTGACCATGAGGTGAGCGTTTTTTTTGTTCTACCACAAGTTCCACACTATGATGTGCTGCCTTGCACAGGCCTCAAAACAACAGGACTAACCAATTATGGCCCGAAAGCTCTAATACTGTCAGTTAAAATTAACTTTTTCTCTTCATAAGTTCATTACTCAGGTATTTGTTACAATGACATAAAGTTGACAAGAAAGCTTAGTAGCAGTTGAAAATCCTTATTATCAGTGGGAACTTTTGCAAATGGGCGAGTCAGAAATTTTATTTTTCAATTGGCCAAGGCTAATAGCATTGTCTCAAAGAACTTCTGAATGGAGAGAATCACTGACTTGGGATATTTTTCCATAAATATAGTGAGAACCATACCACACACCCCCAAAAAAAGGGGGAAAAAAAGAAAGAAAAAAAGGAAACCTGAAGCTTAAAGAGATTAAATGATCTAAAGGAGCATAATAAGCAGCTGGAGCTAAATGATCTAAAGGAAAGCAATAAGCAGCTGGGATCTAAATCTACAAACTTGGCCCCAGAATCCTCTGGATTTTATCTACATTGAAAATAAAATGTCATTATCATAGTAGGTTCCACAATTTTTAAAAAATTTGAATAGATGAATTTTCAAAATTTAACTACCTTTCTGGGCAAGGTGGCACACAGCTATAATTTATATATATATATATATATATATATATTTTTTTTTTTTTTTTTTTTCCCCCAGATACTTGGAAAGCTGAGGCAGGAGGATCCCAAGTTTGAGGTCTGCCTGGATAATTTAGCAATCCTATCTTAAAAGAGAAAATAAAAAGATATAGGTTTAGAGCATCCCTCGGTTCAATTTCTCATATTGAAAACCTAGTTGTCCTAATTCCTCACTTGTAAATGTCTTATTGATGGTGACTGAGAAATAACTAGGGAGCTGGGTACAGGGGCACATGCCTGTAATCCTAGAAACTGAGGAGACTGAGACAGAAAGATCACAAGTTTGATCACAAGCCTCTGCAACTTAACAAGATCATGTCTCAAAAAATATAAAAGGGCTGGAGCTGGGAATGTAGGTTGTTGGTGGAGTACCCCTGGATTCAATCTCAGGAAACACACAGGAACCACACAGGAAAAAGAGAAATAACCAGGGGAACTGGGAGTACATGAACTGGGTAAAATTAAAGAAAGTTACAATTCAATTAGCTATATTGTAACTCCTGGAGGTGGTGGAATGAAAGAATACAAAAATCAGGACTTGTTTTATTCACTATATATTATCAGTCCTTAAGACAAAACCTGAACTAGATTGAACATGGAGAATGGGGGAAGGAAGGGGGGTTAGGAATGGGAAAAACAGTGGAATGAATTGGACATAACTTTCCTATGTTCATATATGAATACACAATCAGTGTAACTTCACATCATGTACCAACCACAAAAATGGGAAGTTATATGCCATGTGTATATGTCAAAATACATTCTACTGTCATGTATAATTAAAAAGAATAAAAATTTTTAAAAAGAGCCTGAAACACGATTACTGATACATATTTGTTGAAGAAATGAATAAATGCCACTCAACACTGCCCTGTAATATTCCTGCACATATCTAGCATGTGTTCTTTACTAACTCATTCTAAAATAACTCTTAACAAAGTTTTTCCTCTCTCCACTAATTCAGTTGATTTTCTCTCACATTCATGGAGAAAAAAATAAACATTCTGGAAATGACTCCCAAATCTCTTACTATCAAAACTACACACGCTATACCCATATTCTAGGTTCCCTCCAGTTGAAATAAAAATGCATCTCTAATTTCTATTCCAGACCAAACCTCTTGTATTCTGGATACTATCCCCTCTTGCCTTCTCCAAGACTTTTCTCCTGCAGTTCCTCCTTCTCTTTTCTGCACTTTTCTGTATCATTTCCATACATATAACCATGCCCTCTAATTTCTCACTACTTCATCCCAATCCTTGGGGTCCATCCACCTTGACCTTATCATTCTAAAACAAGATTAAACCCATGACTTTTGCACCTACTAATTCCTGTGCCTGAGAAACTCTTACCTTTTAAATTTTTTTGACTTTTTTTTTTCTTTTCGTTTTTGAGGACTTTAATCCATGTGAGCTGTAGTTTTGGATATGGTTTAAGGTAGAAATCTAATTTCATATTTTTCTCTTTTGGGAAAAAAATGTCTCAGCGCTATTTATTGAAATATATCTTTTCCCCCACTGACTTGTAATACAAACTCTTGTAATAAGCCAAGTTCCTTTGGAGTTTGTTTTCATTTCGGCCTAACAAGCTTTGCTTCTTATTTTCCTTCATCAGGCACGCTTCTCTCTTGGTTCCTCTCAGGGGTACCTTTCCCTCTCTTTCTTCAGATCGTCCTTCATATCTAGATTGTCTATAGGCATTTCTGGCGACTTCAAAGATCCTGGAAGAACCGAGACTGGCTAGAGCTTCAGACCAGTTGTTGCTAAGGCGGCTGTCGCTGAGAACGCCGAAAGGACCAGCCCTCGGCGCCCTAGTGATGGAATCAGGCGCGCGCCAGCGTCGCCAAAGGGTGCGTCACCGCGCGCGGACGACAGGGGGCGGGGTCGGGGATTAGTCACGTGGCTTGGTTGCCTACGCGCTGCTGGGCCGTGGGAAGATGGCGGACGGAAAGGGAGACGCCGCCGCCGCCGCCGCCGGGGCCGGGGCTGAGGCTCCAGGGGTAGCGGGAGCCGGAGAAGGAGCCGAAACAGAGTCCATGGCTCGGGGTCATCGCCCTGCATCTCCGGCGCCGGGAGCCCCGGGCCTGCGACCGTGTTTGTGGCAGCTGGAGACAGAGCTGAGGGAGCAGGAGGTGTCTGAGGTCTCATCTTTGAACTACTGCCGGAGCTTCTGCCAGGTGAGGGGCTGACTGGCTGATTGAGGGCGGCGGAGCGGGGAGGCCAGGGAAGGAGGCCCGGTATCCGTTGCAGCAGCCGAGGCTGAACTCAAAGACACCACCCCCGTGTCTCGCCGCGCCCCCGGGCCGCAAAGGCCCAGCTGGCCCCCCTCCGCCCCAGTCTGAGTTTGGCCACTGTCGGGGCGGGTTTAGCTGGGCTATACTGAGAGCCGCGAGAGCGCCGACGGCTCCCTGGAAGGGCCGTGCCCTGTCGCGGTTGCTTGAGTCCTGCCGGGGTGGTTGAAGCGCCACTGCCCCCTGAGGGTTTGATTGCTCGTTCCTGGTGGGAGATGCTTCTTTGAGTGATATGGGTCTCTCCGAACTGGAAAACCCAGGTTTTCTTGAATAATCCGGAGGGGTATATTGGGGCCAGAGACTTCTCTTTGGAGTCAATGTTTTCTGGCCCCTAAAAGGCTTGATAGTTGGCTTTGAAAGACGTGTCGGACTTTCCGATTAGGGATTGTGGAGCCGTTTGGTTGTTTTGTTTTTGCCCATTTTGGAGAGCAAGGAGATATGTTAATGCCTTCTTTAACCTCTTTTGTGTTCATTTGTGGATTGTAGTACCAGGACTGAGGCTGGTGATTAGAAGAGGTTCAGGAAAGAGATGTACAGTGTGGCCTCTTTTGGCAGTCGAATGATCCATTGCTTCTGTGCCATAGAGGGTCCCAAATTTATTTGCATGTTTATGGATGTATTGGTTTCCATGATCCCTCCAAGGTGTTTCTCGGTGTTTTCAAGTCTACTACATTCGTACATATTTGCTATTATTATTTCTACTTCTGATGTTTGTTTTATCAGGTTTCACAGTCACTCCTTTGCTCCCCACCTGTGGTACCTTAGAGAATATAAATTAATTGAAGTATATTGGTACTTGGATTCTTAATGAGCATTTGAGTTTGATGAAGAAATTGTGGCTTTCCAAAGTTATAATTTGGGTGGGGGGCGTTTTCTCTGTTGGTTCAGGGCAGTATCAAAAGTTGATTTGCTTGAGTGATTTTCTTCCCCCTCTTGCTGAGCCAGAAGAACCTCATCTCTGAATTAATTTTATTCTTGCTAATCTTTTTCATCCGTTATATCGCTCCAATTTTTGTGTATTCAACCTGTAGTATTTCCCTCCCCTATTTTATGTCAAGGTATAATTGTTATCTGCTTCCTTGCCTAGTGATAATAATTTAGAAAACTCGTTTTTACCAACTTCCTTAGAATGGTGCCAGACATAGTGCTGAGGAAGTGCTGAGGAAGCATGAATAATGCACAGTACCTACCCTTGATGAGCTTATAGTTGATGGGAGGTTTTAGAAATGACAGTATTTTCAGTGCAGTTTTGGTAATAATAGAAAAGGAGTTGTAGAGACAGTAGTGAGGAGAGAGCCCTCTTGGGGCATCCTTGTCGAAAAGACAGTTAACTAGTAAAAATAAAGTTTAAAAGATTGATTATAGAGCGTAATATGTGTTTAGAACTTGTAGAGGCCACTTTAGATAGGATAAGGCTCTATGGCTGAAAGGATATAAATGGGTCATGTGAAGGTCTGGGGGGAACATCACTCCAGTGCCAAAGGTAGACATGAGAAGGGACATAAAATGCTATAGGAGAAAAGGGAATTAATTGCAGAGGGAGTGTGGGGACAGGAAAATAATCATGGGTTTTGATTAAGGTTTCTAAGCTTGAGTTGTCTTTTGCAAAGATAAAAAGAATGTATATGGCCAGTCAGAATAAAGCTTATCAAAGATAGATATTTAGATACAGATTTAGATATAGATTCGTTTTATGTCTATTGCTTGCATTTCCAATTTTATTTTAAATAATGTTTTAATGTCAAAAATCTTGATAAGGCCTAGAAATATGAGGACCCAGAAGAATTTTTCAAAGATAGCGCTTTTGTGATTTGTCTTTTCTATGAAATTTTTCCTGAACATTTTCCAAAAATATTCTTTGGACTAAAAAGAAAATAAGAACAGTGTTCCTGTAACATTAGGTTGTCCTAGAAGGCACATTGGATTGGATGTTAATTGGGTCCTAATTGTGATTCTACTTCTTCTTAACTAATAACTTTGGGCAAACTATGACTGTGCAACTATATCATGTTTTCTGACCTTTATGTCCTCATGATGCTTTATACAAACAATAGAACAGAAAGTTTATGTACAAATCTTCACAGAATTTGTCATAATATTTTGTTACATTTTTTCCAGTAGCTCAGATAAAATCAACTGTGTCCTGCATCACCAGACCACAGAAAAAAACCTTAAAATTAATGAAAAAACAGGAAAAATTGCACTATTAAGTTGATTGAATAGCTCTTGGTTTCTCATAAGATTTTTTCATTCACTTACTGTGTGACTAAGTGCTGAAGATGGGAAGCTAGGAGCTTATGATATGAAGAGATAGGTAGTAAGTATTAATTATCATAAGGGCCTGGATGTTTAATTACTACCACAAATCTATTTTCATCAGGTGTTTACTTTAGAAATATTGTTTTTTAGATTATATTAAGTAGATCCCTTCTATAACATGCTTGCATCATATTCTCTTTCTTGCATCATTTAAAAGAAGTCACTTTATCTTTGGAATTGTACTAACTCAAGAAATAAACTAAGTGGATAGGGAATCTTTTCTCATTCAGGGTGTATTTTAAATTTTCTTGAGTTTGTGAAGACGGTAAACTCTAGAAGTAGTAGTTACTAAGAAAATGATACTTAAATCAAGTTATATTCAATGAAAATTTGTATTCAATGACTATGGGATATATCCCCCCCCTTTGGTTACACTCAGTTCCTTTTCTGAAAACATTGTCGGACAGTGTAGATAAAATTAATAACACAAAACAATCCTTCTTTGTTTTGCTGAAAAAGTGATGTTTAATTAAAATTTTGCTGTATTTTGGGAGTCAAGATGCCAAAAGTTTTACAACTGGTGACTCTATTTGTAACACAAATTTTTGAAGGCTTTTCAGTAAACTTCATTAATAAACTTGAATTTTTTTAAAATTTAGTTGTACACAACACGTTTATTTTGTTTATTTTTTTATGTGGTGTTGAAGTTCGAACCCAGGGCTTTGCGCATGCTAGGCGAGTGCTCTACTGCTGAGCCACAACCCCAGCCCAATAAACTTGAAATTATTTGGTGAATATTTATACTTTGAGAATACCAAAGGAATTTTATGAGTATACCACTTTATATGAGACAATTTTAATTTTTAGACTGGCAGTGACTTTGTATGTTTTTAATGGTTAAAATAAGTAAGTGCTGCTTGGTGTAAATGACACATGCTTATAATCCCAGCAGCCAGGGAGACTGAGGCCAGAGGATCAAAAGTTTGAGGCTAGTCTCAGCAGTTTAGCAAGGTCTTAAGCAACTTAGTGAGATCTTATTTCTAAAGAAAAAATAAGAAGGGTTGGGGATATAACTCAGTGGTGAAGTGCCCCTGGATTCTATCCCCAGTACCCCCCCCCAAAAAAAGTGCTATATTTGCTTTCCCTAGTAGCCCTCCCTTATGTACAGGGTATACATTCTAAGACTCCCAGTGGATGCCTGAAACTGCTGATATGAGCTCTATATACTATTTTTCCCCTTTACTTACCTGTGATAAAGTTTAGTTTATAAATTAGGCACAGTAAGAGATTAACAATGACTAATTATAAAATGAAACAATTATAATGATGTACTAGTTATAGTATATCATTATATTAATATATTTTCTCTTTCATAATGTCTTATTATGCTATACTCTTCCTGTGATGAGGTGAGGTGAAACAGTGTCTAAGAGATAAGATGAAGTATAGTGAAGGATGTAGGCATTGTGACTTAACCATAGTCTACATAACTACACAGGGTTACTTAAACACAAGCACTGTGATAACCCAACTGGCTAGTAAGTGACTAACATGTGGGTAGTGTATACAATTTGGATAAACTGGACAATGGGATGATTTATGTCCTGGGTGGGACAGAGCTAGATGATGCAAGATTTCATAGATTACATAAAATGGTGTGCAATCTAAAACTTTTTGCATTATTTCTGTAATTTTTCATTTATTATTTTTGGACTGCAATTGACCACTGGTAACTGAAACCACCGATAAAATGGGGCTACTTCAGGCACCAACATGTAAACTAGCTCTGTAACCTTGGGCATATTACTTTCTTAACCTTAATTTGCACATTTGCAAATGGAATGATAATAGTACTTATTGTTCTGTGTAAATACATGGTTATGAGGATTAAATAAGATTTTTCTCTATTAAAAAAAAGCAATGCCTTTGAAATTGTCTGAGTAATCCAGATTTCTTAGCGTTGACCCTAGGTTGCTATTCACTTTTCACCTGGTCCATCACATCACTCTGGTCCTAGTGTTACTGACACTTTAGTGGTCACTATTTGGGGTTCTTTATTTGGAGTCTATGGATCAAAAGTATGATCTCAGTCACTCCTAAGATTAAAATTTACCTGTGAGTTTTCAAGTGCATTATTTTGGGAATGTTATTTTAATTTTTATTTGTTTCTTCAAGATCCACAACACATTTTTTTTTTTAAGAAAAGGAAATATCAACTGACTGATCTCCAAAAGGATAAAATTACTACTTTGACAGGATTTCAAGTCATCAAGCATTCTCAAGTCTTTCCCTTTCATTGTACCATTGTGCTGTTCTCTTATTGTCTCTCTCCCTTTTTTGGCATGGCAAAAATTCCTTCTTTAGTGCTCAGCACAAGTATTATCTCTGTGAAGCTTTCCTTGATTTCATCAGACAAGTTTCCTCTTGTTTGTGTTTTCACACTTTGTGCATAACTTTAACATATTTTCTTGCTGTCACTGTCTTAATTTAAGCTTCCTCCTTTTGCAGCAACCTCTGCACTCTTGCCTTCTAAATGACCTTATCTACAGTCCACCTTTGTGTTGTAAATATAATTGAGTCACTTTATTCCTAAAAAACTTAAGTAGTTTCTTTTCCTAAAGGCATGG